GGGTTGTGTGTTAAAATAAGGTGGCCGCGGCCGCGTTGGACAGGTGCCCGTTTTACACAGTTAAATTATATAGAAAAAACGCAAGGGGGGAAACGGAAAGTGGCCGTTTGTACAGGTGGCCGTCTTATAGAGGTGGCCGTCAGGGCAGGTTCCACTGTATATATATAAGTAAGTATATATATATATACACCATAATGTAGTACCCAGTCCCAGTTGGCCACTAAGTCTGAAGCAGCGGTCTCGCTCAATGACTAAAATCATAATGATGAAGACGTAAAAGAAGTACTTAAACTTGAAACAAGCCCCATCAAAATAATATATTATGTAAGTGGGTGTTCGGTCTGTGATCTGGCGTGGTTTGGTCCTTTTGTTCTATCAAACGTCTACCATAGAAGCGACTTTTTGTCTTGAGAGAGTCAAAAATAAATCTGATTAACAGAGAAATGGTGGTTTAAAGTGGGAGAAGAGGTGGTGGGTATACAATTATCATTGTATATTATACTGTATAACATTTGTTTCGAATTATCATTCAAATAACGAATAGTTTGCAACAGTACAGGTTATAATATAAAGCACATTTAGTTATAGTCTGAGTTTTATTGCACGTGAAATACTGCCGATTGTATTTCCTCCTTTGTTTGCTTTAAGTGTTGCTCCTCCTCTTCGGTAACTCCGCTAATCTTTAGCAGCTATATGACTTAGTATTTGAAGTGCAATATAAAACTCAGACTATACCTAAATGTGCATAATATTATAACTTGTAGTGTTGCAAACTATTCCTTTTTTAAATGATAAATTGAAACAAATATTATACAGTATAACATACAATAATAATTGTATACCCACCACCTCTTCTCCCACGTGAAACCACCATTTTTGTGTTAATCAGATTTATTTCTGACTCTCTCAAGACGAAAAGTTGCTTCTATGTATATTTAAAAAAGTGTTTGTTTTAGCTCGATATCTTTTCTTGAGTCCAAGAGCAGATCTTTCCGAATTCCAAAACTAGGGACATTTTTTTCTCTGGTAAGACAATTAACGTATATTTTACTTCTAAAAGTCGTTGACTGACATTTCCGAAAGGCCTGGGTGTCACCAGCAAAATACCAAAGCGCCAAAGGTCTACAACCTTTCGCTCCAATTTCCATTCTATTTTTAAGAGATCGATAACAGACTATCAGTTGACAAAGAACCAGCGGCCTGTCTTCTTTTGCATGCCCGCTTCACCTCAGAGGAGGCGACGTAAAGGGAATGATTGATTGGCTCGATCGTAGTTTGAAAAAGAAAGTATGTGTGTAACGGAAGTGACGTACGGACAAACTTGAACC